AAATGGCGAATTGTTTGTAAGTTGAATGAACTCAATAAACAAATAATGAAATCTGTTGTAAAGAATCCAAACTATAGCAAAATTCTGTAATGTAAAAGCTATTATTTTTAAGAAAGTAATGTAGAATGCAAGAGTAATATTGACAGTACAAAACGCAGCTTCGAATTGTGATCCCGTACGTTGCAAGATGAACGGATAAATACAAAGCTCAAAGAAAATTTTAATAAATAATAAACAACAAAATGCAAATGTCAAGGCAAAGTAAGAAACTATTTCAATTTCCTGGAATCGATTCCATTCTTCTTTATACGAACTTGAACTCAGATCAATAAGAAGCCTTCTGTTGGCTAACAGAATACGTAACAAACAACAAAGAACTGTGTACATTGCACTCATAAACGTAGCCATAAAGGAAGCTTTATCAAAAAATTCGCTCCAGTAGCCACATAAAACTTCACTATTAAATACGTGCACGACGGTTACAAATACAATTATATTGTAATAAATTTCAAGTATAGAAATGAAATAAGTGTGAACCATTTTCTTCAATTTTGAATTTTTTCTATACTTCTGGCAATCACTTTCCTTAAGTATAGTTAAATTGAATAACTTTGCGACAGAAATAATTGGGCCCAACAAACACGATGGACACGAATTTTGCAGTGAAAGGTTCATTTTTTTCGATCGTATAAATCTGTAATACGTCACACTCTACTTTTAAACCCTTAAAACTATATCTAGAAATAACAATTGGCTTCCTGTCTATAAAATCACACGCAGAATGAAAAATTTCTTCCTTTTAAATTCAAATAAATAATTGTTCGATTAATGTAAAATTGTAAGATATAGTAAAGAATGTCTAGTAAACTATTATATAACTATTATAATAAGTTAAGTATATCGAAGAAAACGCTATGAGATTATACTGGAAAATAATCTTAATTTTCTAATTTTAAATAATGCCAGAATCAAAACTAATAATTCTGCACCTGCAGGGATCTTTCAGTATACGAACAATTGAGGATGTTTAGTCGGAATAAACGTAAGCCACAAAATTTAATCGCTAGATATAGGCATACTTATTTTGAATTTTACGACGTTTCCTCATACAGCTAAATCTGAGTTATATAAGAATATACGTAAAAATATACGTTACGTCGAGCTATTATTTATAACTGGAAAAGTCATAAAATTTGACATCTGGGATGATGAATGAGAACTTCGCGTTGAAACCAATGTCAGCGCGTGTTATACAATACATCAGAACATTCTGCATTGCATATTCTTGTTTACTTCAAATGTGCATTGGAAATAAAGGTTATTTAATTTACATATTTATGCACAAACATTAAACTAAACTCATTTCAAATTTTATGAGACAGAATTCTTCGAATTTACATAATAAATATAAATTATTTTCATTGCATAACATATTATATGGCATAATCAATACAGCATTATAATTTCTGACATATCTCAAAAAGATCACGATGGTGTAGTAAAAATACAGTATATAAAGCCTGAAACATATATATTTATAATTATAAATTACGTATATGTAATATAATTAATATAAATGGAATAGAAAAATACACATGCTTGAGGCGTACAGAATCGATATCAATACAGGCCAATGCTGTGATAACACAACATAACACTAATGTTAATGGAACCATTGTTATTGATGTGATTAAGTATGCTTCCAGAAAAATATTCCTATATCATTAACTGAAGAAACTTGTGTTATTTGTCTTTATCTGATTTCAACAGCTGTGATTTAGGAAGGACATAGTAGAGACTCTGTTAAAGTTAATTTAAATATTCCGACTAGAGAACCAATTAGAATACATATTACAGTCACACTGCAATTGACGAGTCAGAATAAATAATTTTTATATCAACTGTATCCGTTATTGTTGAGAATGTTAAATTACTAAATATTTGATAAATCGAAAATAATAGAAAACTCAAAACCAAGCATTCATGATATAAAGTAAAAGTCTGAAAATGTAGATTAATTTTAGTTATAATTAACCGTACAAAAGACGGTAGAAACTTGTTAATCCGACATCGACAGGAATCAGAATGGAGCCGGAATACTTCATGTTTTGTATTTCTGTAATATTAGATGTGTTGTATGGAATTCGAACATTGTAGGCATTGATCGACATTTTGAGTCAGCACAAGATGCTGTATAATTCGTATTTGCTTACGTAAGCTATTTAATCCGTTTGAGGGTGATCTATATACTGGTTAAAATTGAATACACGTGAAAAATTAACGAACACGTTATTATACAAAAGAACGTCCACAATGATTTTAAATGCGTATTTTTATCGCCTAGACACGCGCTGGTTGGTGGGTTGGATTGGTAGAATAAAGAACTAACATATAGGCGATATTCTATGAGGTACGGCTTTCGATGGAAAACTAGTTCTTATTTAGGTGTTAGAAACGTGAAGGAAACTCTGAAACTGTACGAGGCTATTTAAAGATATTTTTCGTTTCCGACTCTTTTCGTTTTGTGTGAATTAAAAAGACCTTTCATTATTAATCATTGTGGAGTTGACCAGGACCACTATGGGGACGGCCGAGTTTTGAACGATGAGCTCAACATATCTTAATAAAAATGATTGTCAGGATTTGATCTAGGATTCCCCATTCGGTAGACTGACGCCATAATTGAGTCGGTATGTAAAGACTGTACGGTTTCATTTTGAAATTTAAAATCGCAGCACTTCTGTGAAATATGCTTGATAAATTTTAAATGAAGTAACATTGTAATTTTTGTTTTAAATTATTTTCTTCACGGTGAAAAACTGGTGAAGTTCCTTTCCAAACTCTGTCTCGTGGAGTTGGGTTCCGTGTGTATCATGATCCGATAGTTGATTCAGGTTCGATAGAAAGTACACCTCCATAATCAATTCAGAGGATATTTACAGTTTATTTACAAAGCAAAATACGTAGAATGTAGAAGTTCGACAACATAATAGGCCCTATATACAGGACAACAAAGTGTGGTGTCTCACGTATTGGATTGGCTTCCAGGAACTATTAAACTCTGGAGAGGCCTCAGTCAGCTTATGGAGTTGGCTCAACTGGTACGGTCAGTCCCGTCTTCTCACTAACCCGTCCCTGAGATGTTTACCAGAGAAGGAAACACTCTCTCTACGCTCAGTGGACTTCCCAACAGCCTGTGACTACCGTGTACCAGCTCTCGCCCTTCTCTCCTCTCTCTTCCGTTCGCCCCGCAATTTAAGGGTGTTTGGGCGGGGACTTCCGACAAATCAAATCCTTTTCTTGCCCGAACAGCTTACACTGAGGTCCGCCGTCATCCGACGAGAGTAAGCTTACAGTAACGTCCGTCACTTCTTTACGTTTTTTAGTAGTTTACCATATGGCAAATGGTCTATCGTCTGACCACAGATGGATCCAATTGACAAAGTCGGCGCTTCTTTTATTTCCTCCCTGCTAAAAGGCCAATACTTTACACCTACCTTAAGCTTTTCTTTTAATTCCAATGTCAAAGGAGAAAATGAAAAATACTTTATAAAAATTGCTGAATATTTAATAATAAAAACGGAACATGACATTTTGGTAAGTTTAAAATTCAAAAATTAATGTTATTGTATCGTAGAAAATTTCCAGTTCATTATAGAAAAAATTTAAAATAATTTTTTTGAATTTCGAATAATTTTTATAACAAAGATGATTGCGTTATTTTAGTACCTTTAAACCGAACATTTCTGCAACAGACATTATCTGGCTGATCAAACAGTAGTTGACTTTTAATCCGTAATCAGATAAGGCATTTCGTTAGAACATTTCCTTCAAGAAATTTTTGAAGTCAATCTGTGATTTTCAGATAATAGTGCTCGATATAGCGTAATGAATAATTAAAAGGACAATATTAATTAATGTTGAACACTTTCAAGATGTAAGAAAATTTGTCGTTCAGTAAACAAGGATATTCAGTTCGAATGTTGTATATTTCAAATGTCCAAACATTCGTATTTTGTTTACAGATAAGAATTTACGTGAAAAATAAGTGAAATATTTTGTTCGTTTTAATAACACCTGTATATAATTAACAAGTTGAATACGACGTTTTTATTAAAGCTAAAACATTTTAAATTATACATAATTTAAAATTACATATGTGATACAAGAGTAAAGAAAATCACGTATGATGTTGCAGCACAGAATTTCGAACAATTGAAGACGAATCAATGTAAAAAAAGTAAATAGTAATATTACGAGCATGTTATTATAATAATAAAAACACTACAAATAAATAATTCGATAATTCACTATTTAATATAATTATTTATTTTTAACATTTTAAATCATTGAAAATAAGGATTACGTTTAAAACAATTTTCGAACTTATCAGCTGATTTTCGAAATTAATTTATTTTTAATGATTGGAATATTCGATCAATTTTAATATTCATTACAAGCAAAGTTCAAAATCCGCTGACAAACAGAACGACGATCGATTTGGATTTCATTTAAAAATATCTCCTGTAAACAATTACACAATAAACTAATTGTTTCGAAAGTTTGTTGCTTGTATATTTGATAATAAGTTTGATGAATTTACTTTATTCCTTTTTTCTTAATAATAAAGAAATTATTTCGACAAAAAATTTGACTTTTGTAGAATCGTAAACTATACAATCATCTTTAATTTTTCATATGTATTTATTTATTATTAACATTCAAATATTACGTAATAAGACACAAGGCGAGGACCAAAATGGATACAGATTGGGAAAGTAAAGAACAGCGAGAATGTAAGAAAATGCGTTGTAAAATTAAAAATATGGGTTTTTTAATTTAGATATACATATTTTCTGTGAATTGTAAATAAAATTTTATATAATTGTATATATTCATTTAAATAATAAGCAATTTTTCAGCAATTTAATCATGTTTCAAAAACATTATTTGATGATATTTATTTCTTTCAGTTCTTGATAAACAGAAATGTTTACATCATTTTGTTTCCTCTTTTATTTATTTAATGGTATTATCTAATGAACTTTGTTACTGTTTGGAAATATATTTAAATCGTGGATGCAAATGTAAAACAGTACTATATTAACAAACTTTGTGAGAAGGTGGGTCATTTATTGTTTCCTGTCATTATTTTAAAAGTGAATTTAAATTTTTATGAATTAAATTAATTATTTTTCAGCTGATTTTTTTAACTGAAAATGAAAACATCGACAATTATTAAATTGGCCTTACTTTTCATATTACTTGGTAGGTATTTAATTTCTCGTATGTCCTTAATTGTGATTATTATTTTTTAATTGTTCTATTGTAAATAATTATTAAGGGTACAATTTTGTATCCAGTTAAATGTATTTAAATAGCTTCGTGAAATAAATATGTATTTTTTTTATTTTTATAGACACGAAATCCACAAATGCCAAAATCAAAGGAGCATATCCTCTAAAAGTAAACTGCACCACTTATAAATGTTCGAAACTTGGAGTTAACGATTATTGTATCGACGTTTGCAAACTTCATTTTGCAGGTTACGGATATTGCTTTTCATTTGCGTGTTACTGCGAAGGATTGAATCCGAAGTATGCACATTTTTATTTAAGATTTCAGCAAAGAGAATATGGTATTGAATAAACATGCATATATAGTGTTAATGAACAATGGTTATTAAAAATAAACCTGTATATATAATTAAAAAAAGTAATTGTTTATATCGATAAACAATACGCAATATGTACTAGAATATAAAATGAAATATTTAAAACATTATTACTTCTCAAATGTCTGTTTTAAAATACTGAGTAAATATATATTAATTTCGAATCCAGACATTCAGTACATATAATAGATATAAACACGTAAATGAACACTTTAGTTTTCTATTGTGTTCTGTTTGTGTTGCACTTAATACATTCGCAACAATATAAATTTGTAATTATGGGCTAAGTGTATTTCGGTAATTTAGAGTTATTCGAAGCATCTTACGCTGTAAGTTTACGTAATATTATTTTATACAGTTTTGAAAATAGTAAGACACGTGTTTTACATAAAAATTTGAACATTTACAGTGAAAAATATTTCAATAAATATATCAACAACACTACAATAGTGTTGTTGATATTTTGATCTCAGTCTATTCTTTAACCGCTTAGTCAAGATTTCTTCTCATTCCTAATCGGTAACTTCACCATTATATTATGTCCTATTAATAAACAAAGTTCAAGTAAACATAGAAATGTAAAAATTTATACCTTAAACACAAAAATATTTGCTATTTGCTATAACCGTTTATATAATATAAAATGTTCATAAAATTATAATATTCTTCCCTAGCTGAGATAGAACATCTACCATGTACAATGGTCCAATTGGGAACAGTCAAAGTGAAAATTCTAAATTCATTATATTCTCTTAGTGTTCGAATGAAAAAGATTTTCATTAAGCGAATTATTTGGTAAGTAAAGTCGATTAAGTAATCCGATTAATAATAAATTTATACAATATTTCTTATTCTTATGACAACTTCTTACCTCTAAGAAAAAACTTTCTGAATCGATGAGAAAACTCAAAATACTTCTTTACAGTAAAACCTGTGTAAAAAGAATTATTTACAAAGCAGAAACCCTCCGATTATAAGTTTTGGAATCTAACAATTTTAATATATAATGTAATTTCGGTGACAAGGATCATCCTCGTCTTCTTGATGACAAGTTCTTACGTTCTTACATTTTGTTATTTTAATTTTATTCTCTGAAAGGTAGCAATGACAATACAACATTTCTGTTTTTCCCCGAAACTCCACAAGTTATAATTCATACAAATGTAAATCGTTTTAAGAAGGAAATCTGCTTAAACGAAAAATTCTGGCCGCTGCCATTGTTTTTCGATAAAACAATTTCTATCGTGTTAAGTAATTGACTTTTTCAATTATACACAAAATATTGAAGATTAATTTATATCCAAAGACTTTCCTGAAACTTTAATTATTTCAGAATGAAGATACAACACGAGATTCACACAGCCGTTACCTACAGAAATAAATCAAATTTGAACTACAGTAGAGCGTCGTTTATCCGAATCAATTGGAGACTGAGGTTGTTCGGATAACTTATTTTTCGGATAACCAATTATGTACGAAAAAACATATTAACCTATTCCGTGTTGAAATTTTTCTCCGTTGCGTGTCGCTTCGCGTTGAATTTTCGTCGATGTTAAGCCTAATGTAAACTTTTTAAAATAATAATCGTGGACTATTGTATCGTTAAAAATTATTTTTTTATTTTTTACAAACAAAATAAATATATTGTAAAATATAGAAACCAAAAATATATACTTTAGAAGTTGATCTAGTATCAAAAACGTTCGATTCAGCACGACACACAATCCTCAGAAAACACCACACAAAAGTGCCAGTGCTGCCAGCCAAAACACACACATAAACCAAAAAAATATTGGAGTAGCCCAACATATAGCCAAAGATTGCAGCGCCACAGCACTAGCGAAAATTTAAATTTGCCGACTGGAATGCTTTCGGATAAACGAAGCTCTACTGTATTTGTATCAAACTTCGTGACAGACAGAATTGTTAAAACTACAGTGAATAGAGCGTCCTCTTTGGAGAGTTCGGAGGTCTCGTTAATACCCTAAATTCGTCATAATTACTAATACGACAAGAATCAAGGTATAATTATTAATGCACTGGTTAAAGCAACCGACAACAATACGAGCAATTATTTATTGTGACATCATTACAATGCCGGGATACAATTTTTAATCATATTTTTAATTTATTTAATTCAAAATATATGCTCTCCACCTCAAATTGGTAGTGGCTTTTCCCATACATCGTACTTTCACTTTAAAAATAGAGTCGTGCCAATCATCTATGTAACACTTTTGAGGAAATAATATTCGAATTAACATAACGACTCCCGGTTTGTATCGGAAGTTTGTATATAGTTAGTCCGGGCTTCCTGTCACTAATCCTTCTGTCTTTCTTTTGACTTTTACGTATCTAACTTCGTTTTCGGGGTTAAGGAAGGACAGGCAGATGACAGTAGGAATTTACAGGTCTACAATTTTTTCAAATTGCAGCCCAATTACTGATTGCAGTATGCGAACTTTTTAATAGCGAATTTGTACATAAGTAAATTAATACTTCGGTAACATTTTCAAACATGTATCGTTTTGGACCATTCAATTTTTAACCTGTCCCCATTCGGACAATATATGTTATAACATTGTCGCTAGGTCACTCCATCTTTCTAAATTAACTTATTCATTTATATTGTATACACCACTTAACTTCAGTAGAGAATATCAAATACATTTAATGTAAAAATGATATTAAACTGTCAGATTTCCATTAAATTCGAACGACACATTTATTAAACTAATTTATGGACATTGTGCATGGAAATAAATTATCGAATATGCATTCATGAATAATGAATATTCAAAATCTATAGTTAAAATAGACATTAGGTAAAACAATAAAATCTAACACAATTACTTGCAAAGAGAAGATCATGCTGCTAAAATTTATCTTATTGTCTTCTTTTTCTATAGTTTCCATGAAGGGTAAGTAAACTATTGTAAATGTTTTATGTATTAATTCGTTGTAGAAAACCTTAACACATCATTACGACAATAATTTTATTAAGAAAGACTTTCTTCATGTGTTACTGGTTTTTACTATTATTTCTGCTCGATATATTTATATTTTAAATTTCGGTCATTGTAATTTTTGGCATGCATTTTGACATAAATTTAAAGGCAACTTACGCAAATAACTGAAAAAATTATATTGTGTTCCTTCGTGTATGTAAAACCACTTACTACTAATTTAGGGTTTGTAAATTAACCAAACGTCGAAATTTGACATCGATTCATTGCATTAAGTTCTTTACATCCTTCGAAACAGATTACTCATGAACTCAAAGTGAGTTAATACTGCTCTAGACAATGCATATAAACAATGTATTCGAAAGTTGATATTTAATTTCGTTACCCTGATATACTATGAAATAGAAGAACTGCAAGGATGATGTATTCTTTCTTTATTCGAACAATATGTATATGTATACATATACAAATTTTTACGAGGATACTCATTTTAACATTCATTACATTGATGTAACTACAGTCTGAAAGTGATACACTTTTTTATATTTATATGGCAATAATAAAGCTGTACATTTTTTAATCTGAATCTTTAATACAATAATAGTATAGAAACACAGCATTTATTCAGAAAATCTCAACTTTTGACAATACATCAAATACTTTAATTTTTTGACACGAGTCAATGACTTTTTAAGGACTCTCGTGACTTAACTGATAACAGACTTGTATTGAATACTATTGTGATAATCTTAAAGAGTGTGAGGATTAAAAGACGTAAGAAGATTTTTTTTGTTAAATTTGAAAACATTGTTTAACATTGTTCATTTTTCTACACTTAAATATATCCACAACCGAAATTCTTATCACATTCAGCGAAGTTTATAAATCCATAAAGCTGTTCGTTTATGAAATTTTTAAAGTTTAATAATTGTTAGAACACTGATTCTCAAATCATTTCCAACTTAAACTGTATGGACATCGGATCTATTGATACATATTAATTTATATTGTAAAACATCATTTAAGTTTATTAGATAATATCAAATGAATTTAATAGAAAAATGTTATTAACATGTCAAATTTCCATTAAGCTCGTCTCGCACTTTCCATTAAGTTTATTTATGTACTTTTTGCAAACGAATAAATTATGAATCAAGTGTGTCCATAAATGAATCAATAATACAATCTAAAGCGAAGATTAATCATTACTTCTTCTCTGTGATTGTTATCATTTTTTCAGAGAGCATAATATATTAAATATTACAGTAGAGCGTCGTTTATCCGAATCAATTGGGGACTGGGGTGGTTCGAATAACTTATTTTTCGGATAACGAATCATGTACGAAAAAATATATTAATTTATCCCATGTTGAAATTTCTCTCCGTTGCGTGTCGCTTCGCGTTGAATTTTCGTCGATGTTAAGCCTAACGAAGACTATTGTATCGTTAAAAATTATTTTTTTATTTTGTACAAACAAAATAAATTTATTGAAAAATATAAAAACAATAAAAAATTATACTTCAGATGTTAATTTAGTATCAAAAACGTAAAATATTTAAGTAGCCCAAGAAATAGCCGAATATTGCAGCGCCACAGCACTAGCGAAAATTTAAATTTGCCGAGTAGAATGCTTTCGGATAACAGACGTTTCGGATAACCAGCTTTCGGATAAACGACTCTCTACTGTATTTTTATTCCTCGTTAAGTTTTCGTTGTTTTTTATTTGAAGGTGGACAGGATCGTTGTATATTTTAGCTTTTGCATGTGTTTTGACAAAATTTAGTAACAGTTTAAGAATTAAGACAGAAAATTATAGCGCACCCTTTACGAATATAAAATATTTAAATTAATGTTGGATCTCACATACTTCAAAAAACACAAAGTGCACGCTCCCAATGCAACTGTAGAAACACAGCACTAGACCACAAAGATCAAAACAAATAAACAAATATTCGAATGTCTATATTTAATTTCCGTTACTGATGTATTTGTTCGTATCCAAAATCAGGTAATGGGTTTGTTTTAATGATTTCTCATTTTTAGTATTTCTTTTCATTTTAAGAACTATTGCCCTAAAAATGCAAAA